GAGCAGCCCTGGCGCTGTCCCCGCAAATGCCGGGGCCGGGCGCAATCCCACTCCCCCACCCTCCCTCACACCACCCCCGCCATTCCCAATCCAGCCCGAAGCTCCGCCCCTGCCTCATGACGTCATGCTCGCCACACATCGGGAGGTCGCGTGACGCGAAGGGGCGGTCTCCCCCACCCCCGCGCCCGGCGGACAGCGCCACCATTGGCTGCGCCGGCGGGGCGGTCGCGTTCTGATTGGTTGTCGGTATCGCGCGCTGTTGGGCGGGCCGCGGGTGAGCGCGGAACCGGGGCGGCGGCGCGTCCGTGAGGGGAGCGCGCCTGTGCCGCGTTCCCGCCGGATCCCGGGACGGGGCTGGTGCTGAGGTGGCGGCTGCTGGCCCTCGGCCTGCGCCCCTGACCCTCGGCCTGCGCTCCTGGCAGCCGCTCTCTGCCACCCGAACCAAGCTGGGAGATGTGCGAGTGTGCGCGCGGCGGTGTTTCCCGCATCCTCCGTTCGGGTTTGGAAGATCCGCGCTGTTGCTGGCATCCCTGACTCCGTGCCTTGTTCTGCTCTGTGTCTGTGTGATTAGGCATCTTCGCGCAGGAGGGAAGCAGATGGATCCCCGGTCCAATCCCGTGCCCCTGGCCTCGAAGCTGCGGAACACGCTGGTTCGGTACCACAGCATCGGAGACAGCGAGTGGCGGGTGGCGAAGAAAACCGTGAGTGCTCTGGCCGCTTCCCCGTTCTGCTCCACAGGAAGCTGTGGGTCACCGGTGCGGCGGAAAGAGCCCGCTGCTGTGCGTGCCACACGGCTGAGAAGCACTTGGCCGCGCCCTGCAGGACTTGAAACTGACAGAAGCTGTGAAACCATCCCTCTAGAATATCTTTAGATGGCAGGATGTGTTTTTCCTGTTCTCAGGCATACTCTGTCATTTCTTCTACCCATTTGCAGGGGTGTATCTCACGGAAGAACCTGTGTAGGATTATAGGCTTGACTTGCAAGAAAATGTGAAGTAGTTAGCATTAATAGTGTTGCAAGAGGCTGACGTGTACTTCCAGCAAAGCAGACGCAGGCATCTGGAATCTCTTGTCAATAGATAGTTGATCATGCTTCAGCTTTCAATAGTTGATCATTCTTCAGCTGTCTCCCTCTTAGAAAAGAGAAAATTCCTTCCTTCTTAAGAAATAATTCTCAAGGCTTCCTCTCCTACTGTTTCACTTTTCTGTTGTTCTTTAGAGACCGCACGTTATCCTAAGTTTCCTTCCCTGAAAGGGAATACAATTCCTGCTCTCTCCAAGCAGTTTGCCATCCTCTTCTTTTGAGCTGCCTGGGTTTTTTGAGTTGTGCTTCAGCAAGCTAAATAGCCTTTACTTGTGCACCAGTCCTAGGCTGGGTGAATACTTTTTGGTTCTGTCCTCCACAGAAAGTAGAAGTGTAGCAATATGGTAGGGCTAGTGTGGTAAATTTCTGTCTTTGTCTTTTTATTACAGTGATTTGAGTAGTGCTTTTATTTTTTCTTCCATCATGAGCAGACACTGATAAGACAGAGGCAACTGATCCAAACGTAACTTATTATTTGCAGAATTAATAAATTTGCTGTCTGGAGAGGGAGGAATGGAGCATCCAAGCCTTTCACTCTTGCAATACACCTATACCATCTCTACTCTACTAAATGTGTTGTTAAATTAAGTACTACTGAATTCCTTTAAAAAGTTACCTGCATCCTTGTGTTCCAAATCCTCAGATTTTACCCCTTTCTCCAGCCTTTCCTTCCTCTTTCCTTTCTTTCCTCCCTCCCTTCTTTCCATTTTGATGTTGTGCCATGTAAAAGAAACTCAAGCTTTACCTACCACAAGGAGATGTGTTGTGCCCCAAAATACCTTAAATGATTCTGGATGTAGTACTTAGCAGTACTGTTCTTTAGGACATTTGGTCTTTTGTGCTTATATAATCATGATTCCAAAGAAAGTGGTGCCATATGGTACTCTTTTCAACACCAAAATTTGGACACTTTGTGCAGAGGTTCCATGTCATAGTTATGTAAAAATCAGAAGATACTGGTTTCTCTATTTTCTCTGGGTAACTTTAAAATAAGTAGACTACTGCTTGCAAGAATCTTCTAGTCAGGCATCTAGGAGAGAAAGGTAATTGAACTTTCTTGTCTGCACCTGCACCTCATGCACACTTCTGTAACTTGTGTTACAGGAGTGCAAGCAGGAGTAGTGGGGTCTTCCTGTCTGAGCAACATCTGGCTGTTGGCTTTCCAGTGGCCTTGCAATTGGAAGGCTTTCCCTGCTAATGTTGTTCCATTATTCTATGTGTTTTCACAGTAAACTGACTTGGCCTACCAAACCCTATTTCTGCACAGACTTCTAGTGTTTCACTCTGAAAAAGCCAATTTTCTGATTTTTTTGAAATAATAGAAAATTACAAGTAAAAGATATCTGAAAAATCTGAAGAAAATTGTGCAGCGGTGCCCAGGTGAACCATGGAAAATTATAAAGTTGTCTGCTTTTCTTCAAGGAAATTGAAACATTTTGTGGACTTCTTGCAATTGTATCCAAGTGACGATTAATACTGTATCTTATATTTTCTTTCAGAAAGATGCAACTGTGTGGCGTAAACCATCAGAGGAATTCAGTGGATATCTGTAAGTTTTCCAGGACAAGAGATACGTTTTTAATGTTCCACAGATGTGTTCTGTAGAATTTAGAGATTAAGGCTGTGAATTCTATAGCCCTCAGCTACACTGATCCTACAGATGGGAAGCTAAATGGGTTACCTATTGTGGCTGTATGATTCCTTTGTAGTTTTTCAGTTTGATACTTTAGCATTGCATGGTGTCTAGAACAACAGTGAAGTCTGTGGAACACACCACAGGACTCCCATTAGCTGAAGTGGCAACAGCATCTGTCCAGAAATTATGTCCTGTAAAGCTCAGAATCAAGCCTGGGTTCAGTAGTCCTGAAGGGTCACTGGGTGACAACTCAGTCAGTCCTTGGACTCATTAGTTTGGTTCTCATTAGCTTGGTTCTACTCCTGTGTTATGATCTGGTCTAATCACAGAGGAGTAATGGGAACTCTCTGTGAATAAAGCAGAATGAACCCAAAACCATTCGAATATTCCCAAGACTTGATTAAAACCAAACAAGGCGAGGTGTTGATACTGAAAAATTGATACATTTTATTTAGTAGTAAAAGAGGCAAAGAAAAAGGAAGAAAAAAAAAAAAAGAGAAGTAGAAAAAGGGGAGTGTGTTTGGGGGGACAGGGAGCATGACAGCTTAAGTAGAAACATGTTACCCCTCTGTGGGTCCCAGTGATGTCTCATTGCTCCCCTCAGTCTAGTCTTCTTGGTGGTGAGGGTCCCCCATCCAAAAGTATAGAATCCCATGGATTAATACAGGTTTGGACAGGTGGGAATGCCCAGGTGGCCTCCCCTGAGGGGGGCAAGCTTGACACTGTCCCTTGCATGACTCTGGATCTGTCATTTTGCATCACATGCATCTTTGGTGCGGGATCTGGGGACCCCTTTGGGAGGGCCCTTTATTGGGCCATGATAGCCCCTCTGCTGTCCCTCATGTGGATGTCCCTTAGATGTGGCTTTGCCAGGGTGAAGAGGTCCCACAGCTGAGCTGGTGTTGGGCTTTCACTGCCTCTGAGCAGAGGCTTTTTAACCATAGACCCAAAAGCTCTTCTTCGTCCTCTTTTGGTGTGAGGGTCTCTTCCAGCCTGACAGCAGATAAGCCTGGGGCTGTGGCCTCCACCCCAAAGGTGCTGGGTTTAATCCTGTGAAAGTATTTTTATAGCCCAGCCCAGACCTGAGTCACTTTATCTTATCTCAAATCAATTTGCAGTCCAGAGCCTCAGTCAGGAGGCCCATTGAGGGAGCTTCTGTGCAGCTTTGGTTACACAGTTTTGGTATAATGGGCAAAAGTCCTTCATAAAACTGTTCAAGCCATAAACCATAGCATTTCAATCTCCAACATCCTGTTACTTCTGCTTTATGAAAAATATTTTTCCTGTTATATTCGTGATCTCCTTTTTACCTTAGGTTTACTTACCTATGGTGAACTCTCTTGCTAGCTGAGCAAGAGGAGTAAAATGATAAATTGTTACAGTTGTTAGAGAAATAAACAGGATAATTTTTATCCAAGGAAGGAATTTGCCATTTATAAAATACTAACTGTATAAAAAAGGTAGTATTTTCAGAAACAAATTTCTTGCAGAGAAGAACAGATGCACCCATAGGTGTTTTCCTGTACTGTTTCTCTGATGTAATTGTGCACAGACCATACTTCCTGGTACTAAGGTGTTAATGTAAGTGTACTGTTGAAAATTAATGTAACATAAAGAATTTCTTACTAAATGTAAACACATTTTTCTAGCTACAAAGCTCAAGGAGTGGTGGAAGATGTTACTAACAGAATAGTGGATCATATTCGCCCTGGACCTTACAGGCTGGACTGGGACAGCCTAATGACTTCAATGGACATCCTGGAAACATTTGAAGAGGTGAAGACTTGTTTAGATTCTTGAAGGAGATGTGTATTGATGAATGCATTAATTTAACATTCATGGCTTTAACATTCATGTAGAGCAGAGCAATTCTAACCTGAAAGATCAGAACCTTTCTCAGCCTTCTTGTTTGCATGCATGAGCAGCATTGTGCATACATGCTCTGTGTGACCACAGATCAGGCCCTCTGGCAGCACAGTCCTATTCTGAAGCATGAAGTGCATCTTTCCATTAATGCTAAAAATAAAGGAGTCAGTCACAATTCTCTTGGACCTGGGAGGTCTGGTAGCCTCTGATAAAATTCACATACAGAGGGCTACAGTGTGATACTGTGTATGCCAAAGCCATTTCATACAGCTTGCTTTCTTCCGTTCCACAGCAGACAATAGTATTAGTCCAGACGTATGGAAGCTGCAACCTCCCCCTCTTCCTGAAGGCTGACTTGTGTAGCATGGCTTTGTGCTGAGACACAAAATAGTTCATACTGAGGGTCAGGACTTGATAAAAAAAAGGTAGGTTTGAAGCTGATTACAGAACAGCTAGTAGCCTTCCTTTGGTTAATGCAGACATTCAGAATGAATTCAAAACCCTCATCTGGACACCTGGCTTGAACAAGGATTGTCATTTGCTCTGTCTCTGAAAGAAGATTTGTATGACAAGATATTTTGTCTATATAAAATTTATACAGACTCTAATTTATAATATAATAAGAAAGCCTATTTTGAAGAATTGTTCACATTCCATTTTATTTTTCACTTGTGGATTAAAAGTTTTAGATAGAGTATCTTAGTACAAAGAGATTCCTCTTGAAGCTTGTTCATGGTCCTTTTTGACTTCCCAAGTGCTCTTTGGTGACAGAAGAGCCACATGGCTTTCAGTTATCAGGCACATGCCAAAGTTCTCTAGCTTTAGATCTTTAAATCTTTATGGTGCCAGATACTCTCTGCTTCCACAACTCTCACTTGTAGACCACAAGTCCTTAAAACTTCCAGATCTTAGGCTGAGAATGGCACAGCCATTCAGACCTCATTGAATTTGCAGTGCAGTTGACAGAGGCTATGAACTTTGTGAAAAACGTTAGCTCCCTGCAAGCATTACCTTTCCCTGTATTCATTATCCTAAGTTATATATTTTTTTTCCCCTTATAATTCTGTCACTCAACAAGAACTGCTGTGTGATGCGCTATACAACTGCTGGCCAGCTCTGGAACATCATAGCACCAAGGGAGTTTGTTGATTTCTCTTACACTACAAGCTATGAAGATGGGCTTCTAACATGTGGTAAGCCACCACCTGCCTCTGCTAAATTCTTATTTTACAACAGTTGCTTGGCTTAAGATTTGACTCAGATTTAGTAGTAGTAAACATTCCAAAAATGGTCTAAGATGGTCTTCAACAAGTAAATTCAAGGTGTTTTTTAACAAATTTAAAGGTGTTTTAACTTTAATTTTACGTATATAAAGAAGTGTACAAGTTACTGGATTACTCATGAACCATTCCTTTCTGCCAGGCTTCACTTATGTCAGCTGTGGGGCAGGAGTGTTAGAGACAAGTTGAGTCCTTCAACTTGGGTCTTAGAGCAAAGTGGGATGAGTAACAACTAGCTTCATGTAAATGGGAGGAATGTCCTCTTTTAACATTTGATTTTTTGCTTATCATGCTTTCCTGTCATAGAGTTTGGATGAACAGCAAATTCCATGCATGAAAATACCTGGAAATTCGTAGTGTGGCTGTCACTACTACTAAATTCCCCAACCAGAAGCTTATATATGACAAATTTACTGTGCATTAATTTTTTTTTCAATCTCTTTCAAATTAATTTCCCTTTTTTTGGTTTGTTTTATTTTCCTTGATAGGTATAAGCCTGGACTATGGAGAGGTGACACCAAACTTTGTCCGTGGATTCAATCACCCTTGCGGTTGGTTTTGTGTCCCTCTCAAGGACTCTCCTGGCCACAGTCTTTTGACAGGCTATATCCAGACTGAACTGCGAGGGATGCTGCCACAGTCTGCAGTAGACACTGCCATGTCTAGCACCCTGGCCAATTTCTACTCTGACCTCAAAAAGGCACTCAAAGCGTAGACAAACAGTGATTTAAAAGTCAGCGCATTCCTTGCAATCAGATTATGTTGTTTAGCTTAGCATAGGTTACCTACTAAATTGAGGTAACACTCTTCCTGAATGACACCTGAACCTTTGTTCCAAATAACTTTAGCAAGTGCTTCCTGATGTGATCATTGGCATACATTCCCAGTGCACAGTGCAAGATGCTTTTTGCTGCTCAGCACTGTGCATCTTTGTGAGAATAGCCTGAATCTCTAAACTGCCAGCTTCCTCAGTAGAAAGCGCAAGATGTGTGTGTGGGCTTGAAAAATGCAGTGTGAGCTCAGCTCTCTCCAGCAGTTTTGGAAGCCAGGTGCTCAGGATTTTGATGGTGCAGGTTGCTGTACAGGCAGCATCTCATTGAAGATGTAATTTTGTAATATATATATATTTATATTTACCTAAATTTTAATTTATTTTTTAAAGTTTGTTCAGCTCCATCTGTAATTTGTTTTTAAAATTTGCTTTGATTTATCATATGGATATTATGTAGCTAAGTTGTTAAATTATACTATTCATAAGAAAGCTATTTGTACTTGAGAGCAAAAATAAGTGTTCATTTTTGGCATTTCTTTGATGTTGTAACTGTAACTTATTTGCTGTTTTATATAACAGTTTCAGTACATAAGGAAATGCCCTTACAGCTGATCCAAAGCTCATTTAGGTCATCAAGTATCTTTCCATAGGCTTTTTGTTGGACTTTTAATCACACAATTGTCAAAATAGCAAACCTCCAATGGATCTTCAGTGACACCCTCTACTTCTAAGGAGTTTTTTATTTAAAGTTGCATGTAATAGTGTGTGTAGGGATTTCATTTGGTTGGGTTTCTGGGGGGGTTTCTTTCTGTGTATGTTTCTTTAACTGCAAACCCTGGAATTACAAAAGCAGCAGAAAGAGCCACTCACTTGCTTCAGGGATAGGTGTTGCTGTAGCCACAACAGCACAGACTTGCCAGTGTTCTGGTGCTGTGGAGTGCTCTGTGTTACTTCCCCTAGATTGATTTTTGCAATAAATTAAGATCTTAAAGCATGAGCAACTGAAGGCCAAAGCTCAAGCTGCAGAATTGCTGAGAACTGCTGAAGGATACAGGGTCTTTTTTTAAGATGCAGATTTCAAGGATATTCAGCAATCTGAATCTGTGATTCTGACAGATACATAGCAGCAGCATTTAAAAAATAACTCCCTCCCTGCTAGGAACATGAATTCTCTTTAAAATCTGATGTTAAGCCTTTGATGTTGGTCATTTGCTCAGACATTGTAGTTATCCCCATGTTTTGCCAGTGCTCACAGTTGCAAGTTTAGCTGTGTAGGAGTTTGGGAAGGTATCTTGGATCCCTGATATTGTGGAGTTGTATACATATAATCCAGGGAGGGGTAATGGACTCTCAAAAAAACCAAAAATTCAGATGAAAGTCCCCAGTAATATTGGCTTTTTTGACAGCAGCCACTGTAACTGAACTCTGAACAGTGAGGACTTTCCTTTCTCGTTGCTCAATCAGAGAGGTAGCAAAATCATAATACCAAAAATAGTGGGGGCTTCTTCAACCTGCTTCATGTTTTAAGGTATTTAGTACTATTTAAGACTGTTAAAAACAATGCATGAAACAGCATTTGGGTCTTTATGGGCAGAAAATGTTAACTCCTTTTTAGGTTTTGTGTATTCTGCATTTCCCTTTAAACCCCTCAATTAGTCTTCCCATTTTTTTTCTACCTTCCTTGTGTCTGCCAAAGTACTGCAAGCTCACAAGGTGATCTTCCACTGCCAAGGACACCGAGGAATTGCTGCCAGAATCCTCTCCTTTCTAGTACTGGTACAGAGGCAATTATGAAATCTCTGGCAGTGCTGCTCCATGAATGATGACATGATTGTAGAGGAAACTGTTTGAAGTGTATCCTATTTTTTCTTCCCAGTTACAAAGATTACATGTGCAGTGAATCTGCATATTCATGTCTTCTCTTTTTAGAGCTGCTGGGAGTGACTAATGGAGGGGTTGTGATACAGATGTACATTGAGAAAAATATTGCCCAGTTTAAATCTGCATAGAGGCACTTCAGTGCTGGAGAAGTGGGTCACAAGAAGCACAAGACACTTACAGGAGGATGTTTGTACAACACCAGGCACAGAAAAGTAATTGTTCCAAACACCCATTTTAGTGGCTCTGACACATATACAGTATCTATCCATATTTAGTATCCAGTGAAATGGCTTTTTCTGCTTTCAGTAGAGACAAGTTGGTGAAGCACAGAGCGGCTGAAGAAAGAACTTGAGCTAAAATAAGAAAATTGCTAGTGTATTTTTGTATATTGATACTTCTAATAAAAATTTCAGCTACTGATTAATACAGAACTAGAAAAAAGATGTTCGATTTCAAATGTATTTGAACCTGAAATTTATATTATTTTTATATAGCTATAGATGGAGAGGGAAGAAGAACTGTTCTTTAACCAGAATACATCAGAACCAAGAAAGCCACAATATCAGAGCCTCTTCTCCTACTCTTGTATTCTCCTCCTGATTTACTGGACAATCTAGGTGGAGCGAAGAGGGTTAAAACAGGAAAGCAGTGGCAAGGACAAAGTGCAGGAACCTATGTTTTGCTTATGCAGAAGAAATGGGAGACAAAGTAAGTGGTTAGTATAGATTTCTATCATTTAGGAATATAGTTGTCCAGAAGTGGCTTCTGAACAAATTGCCCAGGAGTAGTAGAAATCTAGCTTTGCTAGACAAATAGTATGTATATAGACACATCAAAATTATTTTTATATGGCTAATAATTTTTTTTTTTAAACTTACTTTTTAGAGATTTGGGCAATGTGGCACTTTATGCTTTGGCACTTTAACTAGGTGCTTTGTATGTGTGTGGGAAAAATGACTGAAGATAAGACAATTTTCATGTTTGGGTTCTGTTCCTCTTCTAAAACCTCCAGCATTAAACCTTGCCTGTGATGTGCAGAAGACGCAGGGCTGGGGTTAGCCTACATTTAGAGGCAAAGTACTCTACCAAATCTGGCTGGGAAGTGCACTAGTACTTCAGAGAGATATTCTGTGCACAGGCCCTGATCTCAAATTTGATGAATTTATAAATGTGAAACATGATGAACTTATAAAACACAGCATATGTAATTCCTCCAGTAATTGTAAGTAGCCAGAACATGACGATGTGGCCTGATTGTTTAACCTAGGAGGTTCACTGTTGTAAAAAAATCCCTAATTCTAGAGAAACCACTCAAGTTGTGCCTGTGAAAGTCTGTTTTAACAGTGGGTTTAACTTACTGTGTTCAGCATTTAAGCAATTGTATTTGTATTTTGAGTGCAAATGCAGAATAAATAATGGATTCCAACAGGCTTGTGATGTAGTTTCTTAAATACTTGTGCAGCCATATGTAGCATTTTTGGGGAGTTATGTCTGATGATGTGGTTCATCTTCAGCTGCATGGTGATCTCTAATGATACCAGTTTGTCTCCTTAAATCTAAAACCCATAAGGCCTGCCTTCACTTAGAAACTTGATTTAGACTGAGGAAAATGCCTAACTGAAATGTCTTGAAACCTGTACAAGCAGGATTTTCGCAAGGCTTCAGTTCTAAAAATGTATATGCAGGAGTGTTTGGTGGCCCATGATTGTTGTGGATTATTTATCTTTTTGTATGTTTAAGAAGTGATCTATTAACCATAAATAAATGAGCATATAGCACCTGGCAGAAGGCATATAGATGTATATTAGGTGTATAACAGAAGCTGCAACATGTATATTGTCATGTATTTAATTAGCACCTACAGAAATGAAGAAAATCCCTGTATCTTCTCTAGAGCCTTCCCTTGTTTCTCTTGCCAAGCTGGCATAAAGGCAGTAGGGTTCTGTAACATTTGACTTGGGTGGAAAGAGTTGTTGCTTTCCTCTGTTGCTGACAGAAGGAACTGTCACCTCTGAAAAACAGCACACCCTTGTAGGGCATGTATCATGTCACTTTCTGTAAAGTGTGGTAGGGGTAGGTATAGAGGCCACTTGGGATCTTAGGATAATCCTTAAGGACATTAATTATTAGAATTGGTAAAAGATTGATATTCAAACCCATTTCCTGGTGAAAGATAATAGAAAGCTGAGAGAGATTTTAAACCTACACGAAATGTTAAATGTTCTCTAGAAAAGAATATATCCTGAAGTCCTAAACCACCATTCTAACACATTCTGCCTTTTCCAGTCTGCATGGTCTGTGCTGGTGACTCAGTTTTACAGTTCAGATAGGGGCTGCTTATCATGGAGTTAACCTTCTTTGGAATTGTGCCACTAGCAGGGAGAAAGCAGACACAGATGGTAGCAGCATGTGGCGGGAGATACCTGTGCATATTGCATAGCTGACCCACATGATAAGAAATGCCACATCTGGACTAAGGAGCCTCAAATACCAACACATTACCCAGAACTGCCTTCTCTGGAGTTACTTTCTTTAAAACATTTCTTTCAGTGTGCCAAGACACTGGGGCAAGCTAATAATCCTTAGGTTACCTGTATCAAAGGTGAACTGATCTTAGAAGATAAGTTATTGCCTGAAGTGTAACTGGAAACTGACCTTGCTCAGGCCCTCACTGGACCACTTTGGCTCTGCCCTGGGATGCACAGGGGTAGAAATCACTTCCTGAGCTCTGTACCTGGGCCTTGCTGACCTGCCTGCCAGCAGAGACCCCTCTCTGAGGCAGTTTATAACCATGGAGAGAAAATTATTATGCCAAGATTCTGTGACTCAGCCTGCAATTTGGGTTCCAGTCAAGGGAGCATTGCTGCTGAGGCATTGGTGTCACTAATCCCAGCTCCAGGGTGCACTGGGGAGGCAGGGCAGCAACGCTCAAGTGGATGCATTTGAGCCGCAGCAAACACGAATTTGGTCAACTCATGTTATTTGGGTGCCATACAACTCCTCCTTGTTATATGCCTAACAGGATTTCAAGCTCCTTGCAATTTGAAAGGGGAAGGAAAGAAACCACAGCAGGCCTTTTTGCTGGAGCATAAGCCATGTCTCCAGAAACCACCCTCTCTTCTGCATACAGGATTAACGATGCAGCCTGTATGTGCGCAGCCATATCTGCAGAATTTCATGGTCTCTGTTTCAATCAGCTAAAAGAAAATAAAATTTTGTATATGCTCAACATGGGCAAAACATCTTTGTGTTCTGCTGTGTGCCTCACAGCCCACACCATGGGAATAGAGCTTCAGTGGAAATGAAATTGAGGAAATCTGATGACCACCACTAATACCAAAGAAGTGAGGAAGAGGGAAGAGACCCTCCATGCACTTTTTCTTTTTAATGTCAAATGAAAATATGGAGAATTCATCATGGATGTAA